AAAGGTAGTTGTTGGGGGTGTAGCTCTTAAATACTACCTTGAAAATAACCGGATGCCTCCAAAATCTGAACATTAAGCAACGGGTGTTGGATATGATTTTACGAAGAGAAAAAATTTACAGATGGATCTCGAATTTGGTGTCCGACTAAATAGAAAGAAGGAAAGAGAAGGGAGAGAACGGGGAGTCTTTCTTTTGGAGTTGACCTAATCTTGATCAGATCGGGATAACAAGAAGGGGGAGAAAAGTTGCGATGTTGAATTTGGAGTTCATCAGCCCATCGATGTTCCATATTCCTCCACCCACTTCATCGTTAATCAAAAAGGAATACCACTGAAGTTGACGACAAGATCGAAAAGGAATACCTTAGACATTCGATTTTCCATGGAAGCACAAGATTAGGTCACCTCTACCTCAGAAATCCCTCCCTCTTTCTTAATCCGAAAAACTCGTGCTTCCCACCATCAATGGGGTTGGATGGTTGAGGAAAGGACGGGAGATACCAACAATGTGGTTAGGGGGGTAGATTCTTGAAGAAATTGAGGTTTCAATTTTTGGGTTTAAGGAAAACAAGAAGAACGGTAGAACACAGATGTGGAAGACAACTTTAGAGAGAGAGAGAGAGAGGAGAGAGAGAAGAGAGAAATGTATTTTCTTTTTTTCTTTTTCTTTTAATAAAAGTATATGAATAAATAAAAAAACTGAAAAGGTAAAAAGAAAGGGAAAAATGGTCATTATAAAAAAAAAATTAAAGTAAATTGGACCAAAGTGGCAAGAAAATGAAAACCTTTGGACCATGAGTGCTAGCCCAAACCTGTTTGGCCCAAAGTGGCAATTTCGGCCTAACAACAGGGACCATTCTTGCAATTTTGTCAATATTTTAATCCCAAAGCAATGGAAATTAGGCTATGAAACAATAACTTTGGAAACATTGCCTTAACGGAAAATATTCACATGCAAACAACAACACTTTTGCCAAAATGATGTAAATAAAATGGTTGAATTAACTAGCAGAATTTTCTATGATGTAATTTAAATTATACTCTTACACAATGACAACCCATCTCTTATTGAGTGCCTAAGAGAAATGATTATCGATGGATTAAAATCCTTTCAGGCTATACCAAGATTATTATTTAATAAGTAGTTAGTGAGCTTCAATCTTCCTTCTATAAATGACATACAAATTATTGTTGACCGTCATATTGTTTACAAAGGTTTATCTTAGGAATTAATTCAACAACAAACTTATTTTCCAAAACTTTTGAAATATATTTTATTGTTTGAACTAAAATTTCTTAGAATCGAATATATCTTCTATATTTTTATTTAAAAGAATGGAAAATGAATTAAAGGATGCCTTTATTATTCTGTTGCCTCTTTGTCGTCTATGAATCTTTGACTATAGAGTTTCGTATACATAAAGGCAGAATATGAGACAATTATTATCTATTATAACTTTGAAAAGACTTAATATAACCTTTTTTAAAATGCACAATAAAGGAATCAAAGTTATCAAATTAGGGTATAAAAGATTTCAATATCCTCACATTATTTTCTTTGCTGATGATACTATTTTTATGGGAGATTGGTCTATCAAACATTCTAAAGATATCATCAATGATGATATACCTCCATGTGCTTCAATTTAGAAATAAAATTTTCAAATTGTAAAAATATTTGGTGTTAGGATTAACTTCTCTAAAGTTGAAAGAATGCTAAACTTCTAAGCTCCATAGTTGAATAGGTTTTCTTATTGGATCCAATATGTCATCTATTTTTCGACGGTCCTTAATTATTGAAACCTTTTGAAAAAAAATCATACGAAAAGGTGAAATCTTAATTGATTGGAGGTACGCTCTCCTTGTTATAAATTTCCTCAAAAGTTTATGTTTTTATCATTTCTCCATTTTAATTTTCATGATGCAATACTAAAGATTTTATAAGGCATTTATATTAATATTTTGGGGATGTAAGCTTATTGATAAGAAAAGGGCTTTGATTTTAATGGAAAAATGTTGTGATCGTTAAGGTGTTTGCTACTCTTAAGATTGGAAGACATTTCATGTCCAATCATGCTTAATCAGATAAATGGAGATAATACTTTTTTGTTTGTTCATAAATCTATGAGGCTTAACACTATTGAGTGATTCATGGTCAATGTAGCCTTTTTTGTGTCCCTCTTGGCTTCCATTTATGTACACATGCCCTAGGGGTTCAATTAAGTGAGTTCTAAAAGATATATCTTTGATACGCGATGCTTATACTGTTTTGGAGTATCTAGAATTTTTGAAAAAGAGTTCGGCTTAAGGGGATGTACTCTCAAAGAGATACCCTTTTTTGATAACATTATGATTCAATCGCTTTCATGGATGTCTAATAGATGTAAAACTTATTATTCACACATGCGTATTTAGAGTCCCTATTTGGTTCTCTCTTCTATGTAACCTTTTATTACTGGCCTCTAGGATAGGTATTTTAATTGACTTCTAATGATGTTTGAAAAAATAAACATATTATTTTGATGTCAGTTTTTTCAAATGTACCTTTGGTTATTATGCTTAAGTTTTCTCGAAGTTCAAAATCTTCAATTGATTTAATAAACAACTTTTTCTTTTGAAATGGAAATAATATAAAGTTTTCCGATCTTCGTTGTCGAATGTCTTGTCCTCAAATATATTCTTCTGTAGGTAGTATAATTAAACATACCTCTTGTTTGCTTGGTTTTATCTATGTTTAAAAAATTATAATCCTTGAACAATATATATATTAAACTAACCTAATCTACATGACCTTATTTATGTAAAGAGTTGCTACCCAAAAATAATATTTGAGGAAAAAATGCCTCATAGATATTGTTTCACAACAACTCATTCATTAATTCATTATATATTTTTAAAGATTTATAATCGTTATGGAAAATGTGATATAGTTAATAAGGTTAAATGTAATGTTTTTTTGCTGATACTTAAATCTTTAATAACATATATCATATGTCCATGGAATTAAACAGGTGGGAAAGTAAGCATGGGTAAGAGTATGGAAGGTATCAACCATTATAACAAGTTAATTGATGAGTTATTAGCTAATGGCATTGAACCATTTGTCACTTTGTTTCATTGGGATCTTCCCAATGCCTTGGAAGAAGAGTACATGGGATTTTTAAGTTCTAAAATTGTGTAAGTGTTTCTAGTGTGATTATATATGCATTTTTCCCTTTTTAAACTCTAAAGTAATTATTTCAATAATTAGGGACGACTTCCTTAATTATGCGGATATTTGTTTTTGGGAATTTGGAGACCGAGTAAAGAATTGGGTAACAATAAATGAACCACATATATTCACCACCTCTGGTTATGTACAAGGTCAAGGGGCACCAGGTCGAGGTGGAGAAAATGAAGATGGCGATCCTCAAACAGAACCATATACAGTAGCATATAACATACTAAATTGTCATGCAGCTGCTTATAGAAAGTATTCTGAAGATTATAAGGTATTAATTAAAACAAAGCGCTCTAATTATTCGAACATCTTTAGAAACATTTAATGGTGCAAGAATAATCTAATTTCTTATACCCATGATTGTCTTTTAGGATACCCAGAAAGGTAGAGTGGGAATTACCCTTAACTGTGGTTATTTTCAACCTTATCGTGGTGATAGTTATCAAAAAGATGTCCAAGCTGTTAAATACGCGTATGATTTTACGGTTGGATGGTAATTGAAAATAACATGTTAATAATTCTACTTAGATCATCCACAATGCATTTTTAATGGAATGGTTAAATGAGATGGAATACCTAGTTACGGATTAAAACTAACTATCCCAGGATGCCAAGTTAGCAATGAATTTGGATTTAAATGACCACTGAATTGTAAAATTGAAATTCATTTTTTTAAATATGTTCCATTGAATGTCGCATACAAAATGGAATGTTGATATGACAACCCATTAAACTTTATAAAGAAAAATACATTGTGGATGCCCTTGTAATATTTGATTTTCTGAAAATAATATTAATATATAAGTTACAATGACACATATTTTAGGTTCCTTGAGCCATTAACAAGAGGTACTTGGCCGGATAACATGGAAAAATTTGTTGCGACTCCTACCACTGATCACCTAAATGGTCGTCTTTTGCCGAAATTTTCTACTAATCAAAGTAAAAAGTTGATTGATTCATATGATTTTTTGGGAGTAAACTACTACACTGCATGTTTTGCACAATATCAAGGTCCTTCTGATGCAATCCGTCTCGGATATTCTACAGATTGTCACTATGCGGTTTCAGGTACTTTAAAACTCCGACCTTCATTTACAACAACTTTTACAGAAGGTGACAAGATAATGATCATATCATCAGTTTGGAAATGAATTATAAAAACATAGAACTGGGCATACATAATATTGATATCATTAAATCTAGGATTAATGTCATGAATACGTAACAAAATATTTTTTTTATTCACAAAAGACCTTTACTTTGATATTTATTTATTATAATTTATTCACAAAATATTTTGTTACCTATTTATGACATTAGCCCTTATTCTATTAGGTTTCATATTAAATTTCTATACACTTTCGATATGATTGTAAATTAAATTAAGTGGATGTAAATAAAGTATCTTATATAGCCAAGTTTTCAATATACATTGTCATGGTTCATGACATATGACTCAATGTTGTCTATTTGTTTTGTTAGGACAAGATCCTAGTGGAAACTATATTGGAGAGCCGGTAAGACATCTTCATACATATACAATGATACAATTAAATACATGTTTTGATTTTGTATTTCAGTGATGGTTAATTAATGGAAAATGCAAATTAATAGTCATACCAGGGTTCGTGGATTTATCTTTGTCCTCAACAGCTTACAGAACTCTTAATTTACATTAAAAGAACATACAATGTTACTAAAGATATGATCATCACAGAGAATGGTAAAACTATACTTTTGCTTCTATTTTAGACTAGCTTATGACTCATATTTTCATGTCTTCTGAATTTTGATAGGGTCTTCTGATAAGAATGAGACTGGAAAAACATATGAACAAGTGCGTGATGATGAATATCGGATCAAATACATTAAAGAACATCTTAAAGCCATTAGATTGGCTCGACAGTAAGTCAAGTGAATATATTTGTGTAATGTGAAACTAATTACAAACATAACCCTAAGCATGTTTGTTATATAATCATTACAGAAATAATATAAACGTGATGGGATACTTTATATGGTCATTCATGGATAGTTTTGAATGGGGTTCTGGATATAATAATAGATTTGGTATGATCTATGTTGATTTCATGAAAGACCTTCAAAGGTACCCAAAAAATTCAGCAATTTGGTTTAAGAAGTTCCTTGGTGAAGAGAAAATGATTCCACTTAAAAGAAGCATCACCGATAGTGAAGATGGAGATAACTTTGATAAGAATTCAAAGATGGCAGGAAAACCAATCGAAGCGAGCCAAAAGATGAAGAAGGCAAGAACATGAAAAGGACGAAGCTAAATCTTATATCATATTCCATGGTCAATTACATATGGAAGTTTCAAATTTGTGGGACTATTATTGTGAGTTTAAATAAACCCAATATATGCCTAATAATTGTAATGTGATTACTACACAAATAAAGATCTCATTTAAATATCATGAGGTATCTTCATTCTCTTAAAACTCTATGCAATGTTTATTTTTAAAAGGTAAAATGTATGTAACATTTTTCCATGTCTAAATGGATGTGGAGCAGAAGTCTACATTCTATATAAAAAAGACAACTTTTTTTAAGTATACAAATTATTTTTCTATCTAAAAAACACAAATCGAATGGAAACAAGAAAAAAGATCAAAACATAACCAAAGGAAAAAACCAAATAAAAAAAATTAGGACATAACAAGAAAAATAAATCGAAAAAATAAATAAAAAAACCATAACAAAAAATAACCAAATGTTTTTATGTATTTTGTCTTTTAAAAAGAAACAATTTTTTCACATATGACTACCCCACACAAACAAATGTTAAAATTAAAAAAAAAAACGCCACCATAATCATTATTGTTTGCATGAACATTTTGTTGGTTATCACCAAATAATCACACATTTTAAAAAATGGGAGTGTGCAATATTATTTTCTAATAATAATATTGAAAAACATAATAGTTTATAAATTATTATTATAATAAATGAATCCAATTGCCTGAGTGGTTTGGTTAATATACATATTTCTCCATATATTTTATTTTTCAATCAAACCGTTCTATGTTAGGTTTGAAATTGGACGTTGCATCCCTGTCATACATGGAATGACTGTATTGCTCTAATTTACTAGAAAATTCTTTAATGAAAAACACATTTGGGTCCCATCATCTCCTCCCTTACCTATAAATGACCCTCATAAGAGGTCATTCATGCGTTCCTCTCTCGATCTTCTCTACTACGACACCCATACACACATACTTTGGTCATCTTCTTCGACTAACTCGTTTAGTTGCTGGAAAACCCATATCAATCATCTATTCCAAGCCTACAATAGAGATTTCTTCTTCTCGCATAAAGAAACCCGCAGTCGCCACCTGTTAATCCCAAGCTTCATTGGGAGCCTTCGTTCTCCCATTTCACCTCTCTCTCTCTCTCTCTCTCTCTCTCTCTCTCTCTCTCTCTTTCCTATAAACACCAACTATTTCTAGAAACCATGGATCATATAATCATCAAAATATTTTCCTAACCCTATATCTAACCCTCTAACCTGTTATCTTTTCCAACATACTTATACACCTACTTCTGTCACTTAATCATCACTGGAAATGAAGTAACTCAACCCCATTCTCATCATTACGTATAGATGCGACCATCTTCAATGCTAACAACATCAACACCCCTAACATCAAAATTAGTTACATTTCCTAACCCTTGTGTGTTTGGATCAATTCCCGAGCGATTTGGTTTTGGTTCTTATTCGAATTTTGGTTTAATGTTTATTTATAAATTAATCGAATCCATTTCTATCTCAAGTGTATTTTTTCGTCTTTGTATAATGTTTTTTTTGTTTTAAAAAGCAGAAACTTGTTGCTTTCTGTTACACATATTTTCTATTTTGTATATTATTACATCTATGTGGTCATAAATAATGAAAGATACAAATTATGTTGGTAATGATTAAATAAGGTTTGATTTGATTTTGGCTATATTTCATGTTCCTATTTTTTGTTTTTTTTTTGTTATTTTTATCTTTATAATATCCTCACAATGGGCCTAGGCGTTTTTCCATTTTTAGTGAAAAACTAAAATTTGGAAAATAAAAATATAGTAATTTTAAAAAAGTATAACTAAATTTATAAATGAATGATAAGATAAATGTTAAAAAGCTTTAAAATATAAAATATGCGACCTTAAATAAAATAAGTGTTGGATCTAAAATGTAGAAAAATTACATGAGGGACCATTTTTGCTAAAAATAAAACCATGAAGTCTAAGTGTTGAATGATTGAAATTTAACAAGTAAGTTTTCATGTGGTGTCTTTTTTTTAGAAAATAGAAAGTTAGAAGGACCATGTGTGTCAAGTGACCAATGATACAAGCTAGTTAGAGGGGTTCTTCCTTATTTGCAAGTGGAGAACGAAAATGAAGAGGAACAAAACTCAAAATGGAAATTTTGATGCTATAGGGGCTATCTAGGTTTTCAAATTGAAGAAGATATAACATTTAAATTAGATCATATCTATTAGTGAATTAAGGTATAACTTTCTCACTTCTCTCTAGAATTCGAACCCAGGGTTTGGGATTGAGCCCGAAATATGATGATCGTGATTAAATTGATGATTAGTTGGTTAATTCATTTTAGGGTTTGATATTGGAAGTCCCCATCTTCATTAAGACAACCCTAATTTTGTTATGATGAAGTAGTGGTGGAGATTTAGAGCTTCAAGATCCATTAATGAAGGAAAACTCCATGAAATTTGAATTATATGTATATGAATGACTGGAGGATAGAGTTTGTTTGGATCCTTGCCTACATAAAATCTCCATATAAATCCATGACTTGATTATATGAGTATCACAAACTAAATCCATAATTATTGATAAAGTTAGGGTTAGAGAAGCAAGGAGAATCCATGAGAGTTTGTATAAAACTTCAATGAGTGGATAACTTTTTATTAGAATGGTTATGAAGTTATAATGATAGAGTTATTAAAGGATCTAAGGGTTATTGATGCAAAGCTTTGGAAACAAACTTGTATGTGACTTCCAACTATGGAACCACCTATTCAAACCCATGGAATACAAGGATTCAATCACTTCAATATGCATTAACATGTTTTAAAATCAATTAAGAAGTTCAATGCCTCATTGGGATGATGCTTGATAAGAATTAAAGCCATTATAAGCTTATTGACTAATAAGAGTTTTATATTTTATCTTATGCTTTCATATTACGCTTATGGCCTCTAAAGGTCTTCATGACTAAGTGATAAGCAGGATAGGACTTAATCATTCCTAAATGATTTTAGCAACCCATATTTTGGCTATTAAATTTTTTTGGTGAAGTTTGGTGAGCATTGAAAGCCATTAGATAAAAGTACATCGCCTAAATGAGAAAAAATTCACTTTTGGGTGATATGTACTATAGACATGAGGTGTATCAAAGTATAGTGTATTTTGACAAGGGACGTATCTAGCCTTCTAAAAGGATACTTTATTATTTGAAAAACCAAGTATTCCACATCTGATTGGTCCTAATTTTAAATATAAGCCAACAGAAAGGAAATAGGCTTATGGGTGAAGTTAAATTCTTAAGAACCCTATTGGGGTATTTAGATTATTTTGTAAAAATATATTTGCTAGTGACAGTATGTGGTGTTTAAGAGATATACAAGCTTAAAGGAAGGAAGAATAGGTTGGACTCCATTGAGGTGAATACAATCGAATACATGTTCTATAAAAACACGATTAAGGTGTCATTTTATAATGTGAAATTGTTAAGATTGTTACAACTACTTTCTATATGTTTCAATATGTGGTTACCTATGTTTTCATTCATGAAAATGTTTTCATAAAATAGTTTGGTAAAGAGTAAAGAGCTATTATCATTCAAAAACAATTTTAGCATGACTATAAGTGCATTCGTGTAAGAGAGGGAAAATGCCCGTGTGTCCCTCCAAAGTCCATGCAAAATGAAAACTAAAGAGAATAAAGAGTATGTGGTGTTTTATACATGCTTCACATGGCATTCAAGCTAGCTAGCTTAAGTATGAGACCAGTGATTGATCGCACATCTATACGCATAAAGAGACCTAAAAGAAATAAGAGGAGTCATGTTGTAGTGGTTTTGTACTATCTACTTCATAATGTCTATTGCAATCGAGAAAAAAAGAACATGTGAGTGGAATATATTTATGCCCAAGAGTCATTATAGAATGATATTCCTAATGACATATGATCCTATAAGGCCACACCATATATATATATATATATATATATATATATATATATATATATATATATATATGATGTGCATAAACTAGCCATTGACCATGTGAATGTGTTTGTGTTGATTTATAAAAATGATTGTAATATTTATTTATTCACATGGTATGTAATAATTTAGTAGATAGTTTTCATTTTGTTTATTTTTGTAAAAATATAACAAGAATAGAAATACTTTCTTTTTATAAAAATATAACAAGAATGAAGATGGTGCCCATTTTAAAGATCAAACGTTTATAAACTTTATTTTATTAAAGTTTTATGAATTTAATAAAATTATTTTTATAAACTTGCTACAAGGTGTTGAAGCAAATGGGATCATGAAGACTTTCAAGATTTTTCGTCCCTTTATGTCCCTGAGGAATGGACTTAATATTTTTTGTGATGGCTCACGAAAAGATCAGTAGATGGTTGGTTTATGCACATATGTTATAACATGCTTGTGTTGTTTAATTTTAATGTTGACATTATGTGTTATTTGTTAAATCAGATTTCACATGCAAAATAATATTTTGAGCATAAATAATATCGCATGAAGTTTGATTTCAATGAAGTTTACCTTTTAACATAAGATGGTAAAAACAAGGTTAAAAAATAAACGAGTTTTATCGTTAAAAACTAGCTAACATTAAATTTCGGGATTAAAATTTGTATAAGTTTAAAATTGAGATTTTATAAACTTATCAAACTCCAAACTTGATTTTATAAAAGTAATTTTTAATAAAAGATTTATAAATGTTCTTTAGCACTCCAACGGTAAAACTTAATACTAGTTATTGATTTTAAAATTTGATCGCGTCGATTATGGGTGTGTTTGGGAGTGTTTTTTTTATCATAAAAGTGCTTTTGGGAAAAGTGTTTATTGGCTTATGGCTTTTTGGAAAATAAGTTTTAAAGTGTGTTTAGATTAGCTATTGTGGTGAGAAAATCTAAAAAGCCAATAAATTGGTTTTAAAAAATGTTTGACTTAGCTTTTAGGGGTAAAATGACCAAAAAGAACATGGTTATATATTTAGAACCATTTACCATATAATATTCTATAGTTAAAAACTTTTTTACACAAAATTGAGAAAATTTTAAACTTTTTTATTTTACAAAATATATAATATCAATTTTTTTACAAAGTAAATAATTTTTTGATTAGACCATG